TGTGTGTGTGTGTGTGTGTGTGTGTGTGTGTGTGTGTGTGTGTGTGTTAGTATGCATGTGAAACTTATGAGCTCAAACCAACCAAATCAAACCAAAGCCAAGCCAACCAAACCCTCACACTGCACACATCCATGTCAAGACAGGAAGGTTAAAATATTGATAAGTCTGGGTGGAGCACTTGTTTAACATGTTCAAGGCCTTGGGTTCCATTCCCAACACCAGATAGAAAGTGAAGAAAGAGGAAAAGACAAAAGTGAGATGAAAAGAGAAAAAGTCTCTTATTGGCAAATGCACTATAAAGTCCACACATCTCTATGGCAGTGATCCCTCAGTTGCTGACCTAGTTGAAATGGACCAGAACTACAAGGGGTTTTGTGAAAGCCACAGAAAGGGTTCCCTTGTCCAGCAAAGGAAAGTGACAGCAGGGCACCTTTTATACACTCCCTGCAACCACGTTTCTGCCCTCATACACTGAGGCCTCAGAGAGTAGAAAGAAAAGTGCCCTCTCATTCAAGCTGTCCCCACAGTGCTGTTTCTTTTGGCCTAGGTCAGCATGGGGAGAGTGTCTGGCAGGGGCTGCCCACCTTAGAACTGCTGAATTTGAGACATGTCCTAGCCATTCATGCAGACTCAAACCAGTGAAAGAAGGGAAAAAACTTACGGACTGACCTCCCCTAGGGCCTGGGGCTGGATCTTGATAGCTGTTTCTGGTGCATGGGTGAAAGACCACCTGATCTGGATGTCCTCTCTCTTCTTTTCCATGTGGAATTCCATCTAGGAGAACAAACCACAAACAACAGTTACTGGGTAGCAGAGCTCTTCCCCTGAGTCTTAACTAGCGCATACACGCATGCTGCCATGTATGCCATATGTATACTGTATATCCATGTGCTCTATGTATGTGCTGTGTTTGTACAAGGTGTGCACACATATTGTATGTGCATGCAGTATGCTGTGCACATGTGCACTAAAGCTCTCTGTGTGTTCATTTTGTAAGAACTTGTTTAATTAAATTTTTATTTTTTATATTAATTACAGTTTATTCACTTTGTATCCCAGCTCCCCTCCCAATCCCATCTGCCCTCCCTCATCTCCTCCTATGCCCCTCTCCAAGTCCACAGATAGGGAAGTTCTTTTTCTTCTATGTGTGTGCTAGTTGATTTTTGTCAGCTTGACCAAAACCTAAACGAACCTTGAAATGCCCCAATCAGATTAGCATATAGTCAAGCTTGCAGGGATTTTGATTAATGACTGATAATGGAAGAGCACTATGAGCAGTGCTACCCCTGGACAGGTAGTCCTGAATTGCATAAGAAAGCAGGCTGAGCAAGTCATGGGGAGAAAGCCAGTAAGCAGCACACCTCCATGGCCTCTGCTTCAGTTCCTGCCTCTAGGTTCCTACCTTGAGCTTTTACCCTGACTTCCCTCAGTAATGAAGTGTGACCTGAGAGTTTAGGCTGGAATGAACTCTCTCCTCTCCAAGTTGCTTTTGGTCATGGTATTTTATTACAGCAATATAAAAGTAATTAAGATAATGTGAATGAGTTACCTGTGTATATATAAGTATACAGTGTGCAAGCCTGGAGAACCTGGAGGCCAGAAGAGGTGAGATGTCCCCTGGTTAAGCTTCTGCCTTGGCCTACCATGTTCTTTCAGAATGGACATGAACCCCCCCCCCCCAAACTCCTTTCCAGCTTCCCCTCTACCCAGCCAGCTCCTCAGGCCAGGTGACACTGACACTCTATATCCTTATTTAAATGGGGAACTCACTGAGTACAGTGTGTTCTGTGTGTGCTTCTCTTTCTGTCACCAAGGCATAGGAAAGTGGAGAGAGCAAAAGGAACCAGGGCACCATCTTTGGTCCTGGGCACAGCCAGTATCCATGTCCACATGTCCCTGGTATTATGTATGGAGTACCATGGAACCCTTCCCCCTCTACCTGGGCCACTCCAGCAGCCTCAAATGGCCTCCTATATTAAACAGTCCTACTCATGAAGAGGAGGTATAATCATGGAAAGATGGCCAGGCCTTCATCCCTGAAGCCTTATATATAGGACCAGACATAGTATATGGGACTTGGCAGGTGTGATTAGGGCCTGAACCATAAGGTGATGAGAATATCTTCTCTCTCCAGGTGACTAAAAGAATCATAAGTATCTTTATCAATGAAAAAGGCTAGCAGGAGAATGTTCCAATAGGTACGGTTTGAAAACTAAACCTATGGTGACTGTACTAAAAAGGTACAAGGCACAGTGACCAAACAAAGAGTGAGGTGATACATGAGCTCTTTATAACTAATATATAGCCAAGAGGAACACAGTCCTATAACCCTCAAGTATCTTGCTGAATAAAGCTATTCTCAAAGTCAAACTGCCACCATTTTCATCAGATGAGCTGTGTCTGCTTGCAAAAGATCATCACAGCTGGGCTTGATAGGAGAATCAGGGTGTGCCACAGGACCCTCACCCAGTTATCTAGTCACTTCTCCCAACCAGTTATACACAATTCTTCCCTAATTCCATGTGACCACAGAGAGGGGACAGAGTATATAGGCTGAGAAGAACTAGAGGAAAGGGCTCCATCTACATAGTCATCGTCCATGCTGGGTACAGACCTTACAGTGTTGTGTGCTTTTCTGAGTCATGCTTATGGAAACTAACAGTTTAAAGATAATAAGAATGAGACTCAGACCTCTGTAACTCAGCATAAAGGAATCCTCCATGTGTCCCTTCTATGGTAGGGAACACAAGATCATGACCATCATGGATTTCTTGTGACTGATGGAATCTACACCACCTTACCTTTAAATGAAATGGTGAAAGCTGGACATCATATAGCTGGCATTCTGAGCTTGTGGTAGAGGCAGGCCCTGCACTGACCAAGAACTGAAGGGTCTCACCCACCACATGACAGATCACCACCTGGAGAGACAAAGGACAGGGAATCTTCAGAGACAACAAAGACAGTGCATAACTCAGACACCTTTGTTTCACTGAATAACCTAGACTATCTATGTCAGCAAGAAAAGAATTCTGAGCCTCAACTTTGGATACTCAGATACACATTTTTTTCTAACATGAAACAATTCAAAAGCTAGACACTGCCTGATGGATTCTCAAAAGATTCTGTCCTGCTTAAATCTGGTTGTCATGTTTTTCCACACATAATGAAGGTTTTGTTCCTTAAAAATAGCTGTTATTTATTTATTTCTCACAATGGCTGCTTTTATACTCCCTATACAGGGCCAGTGAGTTGCCAGATGTATAGGTGCTTACCATCAGGCCTAACAACCTGAGTGTCATCCTCAGGACTGACATAGTGTAAGTAGAGAACCAACTTCTACAAGTTGCCTCTGACCTACACACACACACACACACATGCACATGCACACAAATAATAAATGTACTTTTTTTTAAAACTCTAGACATTTCTACCCTCATGTAGAAAAAAGCCACTTGCCATATTTTGCTAAAAGTAAGCCTTTAAAAGAAAATAAGTCATAGGTATTACAAGCAAAAAATTTAAAAAGTAGCCAGGTGTGGTGGCACACACCTTTAAAACCAGCACTCAAGAGGCAGAGATAGGTGGATCTCTGAGTTTGAGGCCAGCCTGGTCTACAAAAAGAATTCCAGGACATCCAGGGCTACACAGAGAATGCCTGTCTCAAAACACAAAACAAAACAAAAACTTTAACATATGTTGATACAAAAGAAAGTTAAGAATTTTACCCAGAACATAAAATTATTTCTATCTAAATAATTTTATTATATTAGTTTTAATTTGAGTATAAATTTAAAAACATATAAAGTTTTTATGTAAACTTATAAACATGTAAAATTAAATAACTCTAACAAAAATAGAGCTATGAGCTCAAATATACATTGAATTTGTATTTTAGAACAAAGTTATAGAAGATAGAGACAAGTAATTACATCAACAATAAACCAAGCCACAATCTGTCGTAAGAATTTCAGAGGGGTGATTTTATAACTAAAATAACCCAGTGTTTTTTGTCAGTGAGTCCTAGGGGAGCAGATCTTCTACATCAGATTCCAGTAACGCCTGGCAAAACCCTGAGCATGCGCAGTGCACACCAAGGACAAATGTCAGGTATATAGGGGCTGCAGCAACAGGGCATGTTAGGCACTGCACAGCAGGGTGGCTAGGCATCCCAGAAGCTGGCCAATGAGTCACCGGAAGTCTGAAGATGACACAAGATAGACTTCTGCCTTCCCCCAAGGAATGGCTGATCCCATCCCTGAGGGTCACTTTGAGAGACAGAAAAAAATCTTTAATTCTCTGGTGTATTTCTCCAAATCTAAAACACAAAGTGAAAAGATTATGAAAAAAATTACTTTGCTAGGCCTGATGCACAAAGTGCAGAGCTAGTCCATCCACACCCCCTCTTTCTCATCCCTGGCCTCCCACACACAGTTTACTGCTGGTGCCCCCAACATACAAACTCTAACATACCCTCCAGGTGCTCTGAGCCTAGTAGGGCAACTTCTGGAATCTAGGAGTGGAGTCCTGAGCACACTGGCCTAGCAGGAGCTCACCTAAAAAATCATCTTCCTTCTCAATTCTGGAAAAACCTGGTTCACCTTTCTTTCATTCATTCCTATGACACTGCTCTCAAAAGATGGCTGACAGGGACTAGTTTCATCTTCCCCAGAGTTCACAGAGGGTTAGAACAACAAAAACAACAACAACAAAAATGTTTGGATAAGAAATGTCACCGATTCATGTTAAAAATAACTGTTCTATAAACAATCCTTTCTGGAAATTTTGATAGCAGAGAAACTCCATGGGCCAATGGCTGATGCAAGGAAATGCTGTTCCCAGGGCCTGAGCCTTTTGCTGCTTGAAATAAAACAATAAAACAGAGGAGGTTTTGCCACATGACTATTAAGATGCTCTAGAACCTTCTACCCTGAGCCCACCAGCACTGTACTAAGAACACAGTTGGCTTGGGATAGGAACTAGAGGTGTGCTTTAAACCTCATAAGAAGCTTTGGTTTCCAAGGACACATAAAGCTGCCCAACAATCATCTCTTGAGTGACACAGAGCATCTAAGCACTTGGGTAAACCTATGAAGAAATTAGGCCAATAACTAAATTCAAAGGACTTCTAGAATACAAGACTCCAAAGCTCATGATTAGCTACTCGAGATGGTCAATGTTAGCTGTAAACTTGACAGGATCTGGAACACCTAGTAGACAAGCTTCCAATCACAGCTAACCATGAGGGGTTGCTTAGGTTAGGTTAGCCTGTGGGGATTATCTTGCTTAAGTTAATTGAGGCGGACAGACCCATTATAAAGGAGAACAGCTTGAGACTTAGACTGAATAAAAAGGAACTAGCTGAGATACAAAATGACTCCAAACAAACCCTTTCTTCCTTAAGCTGCTTTTGTCAGGTATTTTATCACAGCCATAGGAAAAGGGACTGAGAAGCCACTCACCTCCCCTACTTTAAGACCTAGTAGAATCAGTATTGGGGCTGCTTTGGGTTAGAGAGTCTTTTTATAACATCCCAGTTCTTTCCCAACCCTATTGCACCACATTAGCCAGGCACACTAACTAGCCTTTTTTAGTGTCCCCATGGTATATCATAAAAGCTCATTAAACAAACCTTCTGAGCATACCAAAACCACTAGGATCACAGCTCAAAAAATGCACCTAAATAGTTATTGGGGGATTTTTCACGTGGATCACATGCTATAAGGAAGGAGCCATCAAACAAAAAGGACATAGATCCATTACTGGAGCTGTCAGGTCAGAGGGCAGGCTCCAGCAGCCCTAAGGAGTTTGGCCTTGTGTCCTAAAATAAGTCAAACAAATAACAGAAAAGCAGAGAAAGGAAATTTATTCAACGTGATCACACTGAAAAGAGGAAAATGAGAAAGATGTTCAGTTACTCCTCAAGCTTGTCTTGACCCCCAGAATCGGGGCTGAAATGAGATTTAGGTTCAAATGTAGGGCCAAGAGGCATACATAGCTAAGCAGTCCTGGTGAAGGTAGGATCCTGTCCATCACTGCCCAATACCATTTGGCTCCTATTTCTCCTACAATGTAGTCTGGCAAATAGTCGAAATCCTTTTCAGGAGGCAAGTTCCACCTCTAGCTGGCATCAGAATTTTCACCTTTCCTTTCCTCAGTATGAGAGTCCTCATTGCAGTTATTTGGGGAACATTGTAGTATGAAAGCCAAAGGGCATGGGTATCTCTTGCTCATTAAACTATATTCTTTACCAGATTTCAGACCCGTTATCAACAGTTCCCAAATATGTCTTTCCCAACTCTGCCATCTATTCTCACCTATATAAACATTCTTAAAGGTGTGTGGAGAATATCATATCAATAAAGATGTAAGGAGATGTAAGGAAGAATATATCTAATGTCTACTCTGAACAGGGGTCTTCAGTTTAAAAAGTAAAACCAGCCAGAGTTAAGTGCTATCACATACACACAATTCATTTTGTATGATGGTTAACACTGCCAATTGATGGGACCTAAAATCACTTAGGAGACAAGCCACTTGGCATGTCTGTGAGGGAGCGTCTAGTTGCTCCTCAAGCTTGTTTTGACCCTGGAGTGGGGGCTCAAATAGGTCCTGGATCTATCTAGTTTCTGAGGGCAGATGCAATGTGACCAGCTCTCTCAAGCTCCTACCACTATGCCTTCTTCAACATGAAGAACTACATCCTCTCAAACTTAAGTTGCTTTTGTCAGGCATTTTGTCACAGTAATGAGAAATGATGCATCCTATTTGCCCACTGAGACATGATATAGAGACCTGAAGGCTTATTTCATGAGAAACTCTCCCTCCCAGGGGCCTAAAATGAAAAATTCTGGAAACAAGATGGCAGTCAATTCCAAGGCATACTGGATAAATGGGGTATATCTTATCTTTGCTACTTTGTGGGTTCTTTTTTCCTACCCTTTATTCCCCCTAGTTTCACCCCGTGTCATTAGCTAGGAGAGAAAAGAAGGTTAGAGGAAGGAGAGAGAGAGAAAGGAAGGGAGGGAGGGGGGAAAAAGAGAGGGAGAGAGAAAGAGAGAAATCCCTGAATCAAATTTCTTTCCTTTTGTTCTTTCTTTGAGCATGACCAAACCTACTGAAGGACCAACAACCACCCAGGGTGCCTGGGGGGGGGGGGGGGGGGTGAATTCCAAACATCACACAATCACAGAAACTATCTGCAGCTGGCAAAACCACACCTCTGCCCCATATCCCCAGACCTGAGATTAAAACAAAAACATATTCTTATATTTCTGTTTTTAAAGGAACCAAAATTCCAGAATTCTCACTACAATGGGGTATGCCTGAACCATACTAGTTCCCTTTTTTGGATTCTAACTCCCACTCCAGCAATGCTCTCTGCTCATATCAAGAAATAAAACCAAAAGAGGGGGAGAGTGACTATGTAATATGGCTTCACACAGAAGCATCTGTGTATAAGCTTTTTCTCTCAAGGACTCTGCATGAAAAGACATGGAAAAGATGTTTCCGCTAAAAGGAAGACTGGAAGGAACTGGTTCTTTTCCTTGCTGGCACTTAGTGCTTCCCATAAAGGCCAAGTCATCCTGTGATCTGCCCATGATGTTCTAGACTGCAATAAACTTAATGATATAGCAGCCCCCAAAGGTCATTTCACCATATGTCAATACCCAACAAGCAGGTTCCTTCAGGGGCAGTGTCTACAGTGGCACCCAAAGGGTGGAACTTCCCAGGAGAAGCTTCCCCTGCCATGGGAAGGATCCTACCTCAAAACAATTGCACAACCTATTAGCATACATACCAGGTTAATGGCATGACTGGAGTTTCAAGTCACACAAAGCAAACAAAAAGATCAGTGGAGATTTCTGTGAGAAGGAAAGACAAATTTGCTGAATTCACTGCCCTTGCAAACTAGAGAGGA